CTGGAATTACAACTGATCTCCAGACTACTTAGTTCCCCTATAAGGACTGCAGAGGGCAGATTCTATGGCAAGGCCCCCCCCCAGTTTTTTTGATCTTGCAGGCACCTTTGGAGCTCTTCTGACAGAGGGTGGTGGGTGCAATCACAAGATGGATACTGTATGAGGTGGGGTCAACCACAAAATGTCAGTGAATTGGGGGGCATAAAAAGGTAAAGGTTTCCCTTGCTCGAAAGCCAGTGGAATCTGACTCCGTTTACAAGCTGAAGAGCCAGGCGCTGTCCAAAGACTTCTCCGTGGTCATTTGGCTGGCGTGACTAAATGCCAAGGCACAGGGAATGCTGTTACCTTCCCACCGAAGCAGTACCTATTTATCTACTTGCAATTTCTTGCTTTCAAACTGCTAGATTGGCAGGAGCTGGGGCCAGAGACGGGAGCTCACTACATCACGCGGCACTAGGGTCTCGAACTGCTGAGCTACAGACCTTCCGGTCTGCAGCTCAGCGTCTTAACCTCTGAGCCACCGCAGCCCCAAATGGGAGTATGCATAACTCTAATAATAACTTTTCAGCGTTTCAGGCAGAGGTTCAGGTTAACAGGATGCCTTTAAAAATGAGCATATTGTTTAAAACTATTTTCTTGCACACGCATAGTTTCACTGAATGACTGAAGGTAAGGTAAGTAAGGTGCTTGTTCTGCGGTGCGCGGCCAACCAGTGGCCAATCAGAAGCCCTGCTGGGGGAACAACACACCTGTCCACACCCACTTTCTAAAAGCCCTCGACAGGCTCCATAGTGCCCCTGCTCTATGTAGAACCCTGCTCTATGGAAACACATTTACATTGAGCTCCCTGCCTTCCCCAAACTCCACCACCCTCGGGCACTGCCCCCAGACTCCAGGAATTTTACAAGCCAGAGATGGCAACCCTACATGGGTCACTAACTAGTATGACTTTTTCGCTTTCCCGGTTCAGGTCACTATACCTGTTTCACAAAAGGGACTAACAATAATAGTGATACCTGTCATGTCTTGCTCCAGGTTGATCGGTACCTCTACCACATGCGCCTCTCTGATGATGTCCTACTGGATGTGATGAAACGCTTCCAGGCAGAGATGGTGAAGGGCCTGGGAAGAGACACCAACCCAACAGCTACCTTAAAAATGCTCCCAACATTTGTGCGATCAACTCCTGATGGCTCGGGTAAGCGGCCATTTTGGATTTATTCCACCACCTTATCATACGGTAGTTTGTGGAAAGGTATGCTGAGATTTTCCAGAGGGCTCGTGCCTCATGCTAAGCAGTCAGGGAGGGAGAATCGCAAAGGAGAGAGTGAGAACTGTGAAGTCTTAGAAGCTGGTTGAGCAGTGGGGAAATGCTGCTGCTTGCCTCTCCTCTGGGACTGTGGTTCTGGTTGTCTAAGGAGTGTGTGTAGGCAGGCACTTCAAGACTACTGAAGAAATGTCAGGAGATGGGTCCGTATCTTCTGCTTTAGGTCAAAATGCGTTGCAGTTGAACAGGTCTTTGTCTAGGTCCAATAAGTCCCAGACTGGGCATGTCTCTTATGCTTTTTAAAGTTTCAAAACAGAATAAACTTGTAGTGGTTCAGCTCCTTTCCACCATGATGCTGAGGATGGAGGCCTCTCTGTATAGGTAAACAACTGGGAAAAGATGGGGGCAAGCAGCTAGGCTACTCTGGTGGGTGAGGAGGCCAGACCTACCTTTTTTTTTTTTTTTAAGGATCTCTTCCAGTGCAGCAGAGGGCAACCGTATAGGCATTTCTGTGGTATAGGTAGGGTTGCCAGCTCCAGGTTTAGAAATTCCTGGAGATTTGGGGGCTGAAGCTCGAGGAGGGAGGATTAATACCATAGAATCCACCCTCCACAACTGCCATTTTATCCATGGCCATTCCCACATTCCCACCCCCAGTTTCCTGCAAATTGCCAGGCCATACTTAGGGCTGTCAGCCTCCAGGTGGGGCTCGGAGATCTCCTTGAACTGCAACTAATCTCCAGATTGCAGAGGTCGTTTACCTTGGAGAAAATGGCTGTCAGCCTCCAGGTGGGACTCGGAGATCTCCCGGAACTGCAACTGATCTCCAGGTTGCAGAGGTCGTTTACCTTGGAGAAAATGGCTGCTTTGGGGGGGGGGGTAGATTCTACAGCATTATATCCCGCCCTCCCTGGGCTCCATCCACAAGTCCCTAGTAATTTCCCAACCCATACTCAGCAGTCCTGTTCCTTGGGCTGCCAAATGTCTGTTCCTGCCCACTATGCAAGTGAGAATTATTTCATTTGCTTATTCTAATAGGGTATGCGTTCCGCTAATGAAATCTGGTAGGATTGAGAATGTCATCCCCATTACATGAGGTGTGTGTGTGTGGGGTGTGTGTGTTACAGGTGGTAATGTGTTACCCACTGAAAGAAATGGAGAGAGAACTAATAAAATAGAATGAACACATGCAAGTAGGTGTGCCAAAGGAAAAAAACTGTTTCCTTAGCATCCAAAGTCAGGTTGTCTGCAAACGTACTTGTTCTTTGTTCTGGCATTGAACTGCTTTGACTCAAGATGTGCTAGATCAGTAAAGTGACTGTTATGTACACGGACCACCACTAGGGGTCTGCGGCACAGGGAGGAGCTTGGCTCCCTTTAACAATAGGAGTATAGGATCCTAGTTCCCCCAGCACCAACCAATAGCCACTTTGGCGGGAAATTCAAACCCTCCAATGGGACTAGGGGGTGCTAGGTGGCCACCGGTGCAAGCCGAGGCAAGACGCTAGATGCTGAGCTCCGTGTTTTTATTATAGTTGGCCTTGTCGGGCCGTTAGTTAGTCTCGTGTTAAGTACAATAAACGTGTGCAACTCATGTTGTCGTCCGAGTCCTCCATGCAGCGAACCCAGTACTTTTCCGTGACTGGCAACAGAGAAAGCCAGGAATTGAAAAAAGCCTTTGAATGTCTTCTACTTTTCCATAATGTTGATGATAAAGACCTATTCTGGGAGCAGCACAATACCCATGTAGGAATCTCAAGGTGCACAATGAATCGTAGTGAGGATACATGAATGATCATATCTGTTGTTAACATTGCAGAAAAGGGTGACTTCCTGGCTTTAGACCTTGGTGGCTCCAAATTTAGGGTCCTGAAGGTCAAAGTGTCCGAAGATGGGAAGCAAAACGTTCAAATGGAGAGTCAGTTCTACCCAACACCCAAAGAAATCATACATGGGAATGGAACAGATGTAAGTAGCATCTCTTACTTGGGAATTTGCTCATCGTGCTGGATTTTGTCTTTGATTAGGCCAGCTTTTAGTTTGTTGAATATTTGCAAGCTCCAGATCAAAAGGGCAAAGCATCAGGATTGCTGTTCAGCAATTGGTTCTAGAAAGCAGCCTGGCTTACTAAAAATCATGGCTGACAAGCTCATGTGAATAGGTCTTAGGCAGGCTGCTTCTGCAGGATAAGTAGATTACCATTAACTAGTATGCTGATCTTCTGCAGATCTGGATCAGATTCACGGCTTTCTTTATCCTACAGAAAATATATTGATTGTTAATGTTGCCACTGTTCTACGTCTTCTGTTCCATTTGAGCTGCCCAGAGTATGGGAGAGAAGGCAGAAAATGCATGACAATATGTAATAGGACACCGCAGTAACTGGCAAATGTTTCTTTTCTATCCTGTGTAGCTGTTTAAATATGTAGCTGAGTGTCTCACAGACTTCATGGAGACCAAGGACATAAAGCACAAGAAGTTGCCTCTCGGCTTTACCTTTTCTTTTCCTTGTAGGCAGAATAAATTAGAGGAGGTAAGACCAATACTAATCCATAACAGTTCTGTCAGCTTCCGCAGGATTATTGAGTGGGGTTTTGGAGTGGAGTTTGACATACTTACCTTTGAAAGGTACAGAAGTTATTCCATAAAATTAGTGGAAGTGATTTTGTTTTTTAAAGCATTTATATCCTGCTTTCCACCAAAAAGCGGCCACAGCAGTTTCCAAGAAAAAACCCCAACAATCCAGTGCACATAGAAAAAAAAGGAAAGCCGACTCACATAAGGGTGGTCCGGGAAACATTGGCTGGCGGGACTGAAGTCACGGGCTGCGAGTCACAGGGCTCAGGGCTGGTGTCTCTGGCCAAGCAGGATAAAGGCACCTGAGTACGCTCCCGGTGGTAAGAAACCCAAACAGCAGAGATGCACGGAAGGGAGTAATACAAAAAGATACAAAAGATCAAACTGTGCATAAATAACAAAAAATATATTCAACAATCAATGAGTATAATAATCTAAACCTATATAAAGCCCTTAATTCTGACTGCAAAAGTATCTGGAAAATCCACACTTCTAAAAATCAGGGGTTGGGGCTGTGAAGGGATGGGTAGAGAGACACAGGACAGTGGAGGTAACAGAGACATGGAGGCAAGAGTATGAGGATCCAGAGTTTTATGGCACTACACGGCATTGGGAAAGCTCCTACAGAAGTATGGGAATACGCTAAATCTTATGTTGAAATCTTAGAGTAATCTCATTTTAGCATAGCATGTAGTCTGTATTTTTGCACCTCACTGTAAAACCCTCTGTATGATGATGCTGTGTAAGTGCTGATCATTAGTCCTAATAATAATGACTTTTTTATAGGGTGTGCTGCTTTCTTGGACAAAACACTTTAAAGTCCGAGGAGTGCAGCAGACAGATGTGGTGAGCTCCCTCCGCAAAGCCCTCAGGAAACACCAGGCAAGTTTAAAGTCTTTGTCTCATTTCAATGCATGCACGTAAAACCTCAGGTGTACGCGCTGGGAGGGGGATATGCTGAAAGCCCAGGTAGAATGTTGGACTGTGAAGTTCTGCCATGAAGCTCCCTGGGTGACCTTGGGCCAGTCACTTTCTCTTAACATGATCTCTACCTTACAAGGCTGTTGTGAAGGTTAAATGGAGGAGGGGAAAGAAGTGTGTATGCTGTGCTCCTTAGGAGGATAGGATAAAAGAAGTAAAAGAAAGCTGTCACCTTTAGGTATTGGTGTCAAATGAAAAACACACTTCTGGCTTGAACATTTCCCCCCATCCAATTGGACCTCCCCTAAGGGGTCTTTCACCTCAACACATCAACAACCTCAGATATGCAGACAATACCACTCTAATGGCAGAAAGTGAAGAGGACCTAAAGAGCTTCTTTCTAGGGTGAAAGAGGAGAGCGCAACATAAAAAACCCCTAAGATCATGGCGTCCGGCCCCGTCGCAAATAGAAGGGGAAATCATGGAAGCAGTGACAGAATTCACGTTCCTGGGATCCAAGATCACTGCAGATGGTGACTGCAGCCATGAAATTAAAAGACACCTACTCCTTGCGAGGAAAGCTATGGCAAACCTAGACAGTATAATAAAAAGTAGAGACATCACCCTGCCAACAAAAGTCCATATGGTCAAAGCGATGGTATTCCCAGTAGTACTGAATGGCTGCAAGAGTTGGACCATAAGGAAGGACGAGCACCAAAGAATAGATGCTTTCGAACTATGGTGCTGGAGAAGACTCTTGAGAGTCCCTTGGACTGCAAGGAGATCAAATCAGTCAGTCCTAAAGGAAATCAACCCTGACTGTTCCCTGGAAGGCCAGATCCTGAAGCTGAAGCTCAAATACTTTGGCCACCATATGAGAAGGGAGCACTCACTGGAGAAGACCCTGATGCTGGGAAAGATTGAAGATAAAAGAAGGGGACGGCAAAGGATGAGATGGTTAGACAGTGTTATCGATGCAACATACATGGAATTGAGCAAACTCCGTAGGACAGTGGAAGACAGAAGGGCCTGGCATGAAGTGGTCCATGGGGTTGCAAAGAGTCGGACTCGACTGCAACTGATCGACAACAACAACGACAAGGAGTCTTGCCTGACAAATAGGGGAAAGCATCCCTGCTCAATAGGCAGTTAAAGTTCTCACTTGCATAGGAGACACAGAGAAGCATTTTGCTACCCAAGAAATCAGGTAGCCTACAAGGATGGACAAAAAGAATATATCAGTAATGAATGTGGACACACGAGTAAGAATGTTTCACTGTCTCTCTGTCAGGAATGGAGGAACTGTGGGTGTTGGCAGGCTACACAGTTTTCAGAGTCACTGTCTAACTCCTCTGCCCGTTCATTGTGTGCATTAATTTTTCTTTTGGGTATCCTCCTGTATCCATAAATGAGTCTACCCATTAATGTCTAAACTGGGGGTGTTTATTTTTAAACAAAAATGTTGGGCAACTAAATATACTCCTCCCACACCTTTCCAGGGAAGTAAGGCACAGGAGGGCACAAGATTAAGTTCCCCTTGCCTGCGCATGATTTATGGCTGTTTTAGATGTGGATTGATGGACATTTAAAAATGTGTGGTGAATTGATGGACATTTATAAATGTGTGAGGATTTCCCCCATTGTGCAAAGTTTGCCCTTAGCTTAATTAAATAAAAGGATTGCTTATTTTGCTCGGGGAGGGATTTTTGTCATGGAAATGGTGCTAGGAGGAAAGGGTCGATCCCCCTGCCCATTATTTCAATGAACAGTCCTGTTCTGTTTGAGTGTGAATCAGGCCAGTCTGTTGTAGAGTCGCCAGACCCCCGGTTGGGGTGGGGTTTCCCCCCGATTTTGGGGCTACAACGTGCCACTGGCCAGCTGGCTGGCGGGGGAAGCCCCCACCCCTGAACAGCCCTTTCTGCATTGACGGTGGTGGCATGATGACGTCACCCGATAGTGACATCATCATGGTAGTGCGCATGCAGGAAGATCCCAGGACGGAGCCGGGAGCCCCCCACTGGAAGCCCGGTAAGACCTAGCAACTCTGTTGAAAAACACTGGGGATGTCAGATGTCCATTACTCACTCTGGAATGCCCTGGTAGGGTTGCCAACTTCCAGGTGATACCTGGAGATCACCCGCTATTACAATTGATCTAAAACCAACCAAGATCCCTGGAGAAAATGGCTGCTTTGGAGGGTGGGCTCTGTGACACTATACCCTGCGGAGGTCCCTTCCCTTCCCTCCCCAAACCCCGCCCTCCCCAGTCCCCACCTCCAAAATCTCTAGGTATTTCCCAACATCAAAACGTCCCCTTAAGCATGAAATCAAGTTTGAGTATGCAAGACCAGGCTTCTGAACTGAAAGCTCTGCTATGATCTAGTGGACTATTCACACGCACACACACACACATACACACACACACATACACCGAATTTTTCCCACAGATTGAAATTTTGCTGTATTTTTAAACTTTATTTTTCTGATAGTTTCTTACATGATGGTTTTGCCATGTCTGACATATGTCATGATTGCATTCAGCTATCATTTCATTATGGTTTGCAAAGTAATATTGGTTCATTGAATGAGCTAATAATTACATAAAAGAATTACATATGTATTACATATGTATGCTAGAACTTTAAATGTGGAAAATCAGTTCATCTTGAAAGTATCTAATTACTTGGCTGAATTAGTTCTATCAAAATCTCTCTCTCTCTCTCTCTCTCTCTCTCTCTCTCTCTCTCTCTCTCTCTCTCTCTCTCTCTATCTATCTATCTATCTATCTATCTATCTATAGAGAGAGAGACAGTATTGTTTTATTCTTTTTTTATTTTACTAATATCTTGCATTTGCCACCTTAGGACATTGATGTGGATGTCCTCGCCTTGGTAAATGACACAGTGGGAACAATGATGACCTGTGGATATGATGATCAACGGTGTGAAGTTGGTGTCATTATTGGTAATTCTGTAACATCTCATAAGAAGCAGGGCTAACTTAGTTTAAGCTGAAGTGTTCTATAACTGAAACCTACTAGGCATGGAAGTGGATGCTGGATTCCGTAAAAGTTGGAGGCAAAGAAAATAAGTTTTCTTAGAAAAATAATGCAGTTTATTCCTACTGTTTTTTTTATTGTGAGATTATATAAAACATTTTTCTCCCTCCTTCTTCCGTACTGAATCTGATGGGCGCAGGAACAGGCACGAATGCTTGCTACATGGAGGAGATGAGCAATATTGACCTTGTGGAAGGTGATGAAGGGCGAATGTGCATCAACACTGAATGGGGAGCCTTTGCAGATGACGGCTCATTAGAAGGCATTCGGACTGAGTTCGACAGAGAGATTGATTTAGGTTCTATTAATCCTGGGAAGCAATTGTAAGTTTAGTTTTGGATCTGGCATGTCTTCTTTCTAACAATGTAGCTGATAGACATGGGTTCATTTGGACACCTTCACATTATGTAACTCCAACTGTTGTTCAATTGCAGATTTGAGAAGATGATCAGTGGATTGTATTTAGGTGAACTTGTCAGGCTTATCCTTCTGAAAATGGCAAAGGAAGGCTTACTTTTCAATGGGAAGTTATCAACGGATCTCTGCACTAAGGGCAAGATTGAGACGAGACATGTTGCTGCCATGGAAAAGTAAGAAACCTTAAGATTACTTTCCACAAATGAAGCTGGTTCAGTTCTGCTGTGACCTGTATGAACACTGAGCCCAATTGTTGGGTAGCTTGATTCTGTCTTCAGCTTTAGTGGACTGGTATGGCAACCCTGCAGAAATCAGGTCAGAAGTGCATGTAGAGGCCAGAGGTGGAGATGATGCCATTTTGGCAGGGACTTTTCAGTGGCAGCCCCACAATTATGTAACAACCTCTCCAAGGAGGTGTGACTGGCCCTTTTACTTTTTGATCTTTAGTAGGGTTGCCAGCTCCAGGTTCGGAAATACCTGGAGATTTTGGGGGTGGAGCCTGGGGAGGGGAGGGGCCTCAGCCGGGTACAGTGCCATAGAGGCCACCTTCCAACGTGGCCATTTTCTCCAGGTGAATTGATTTCTTCCACCTGGAGATCAGTTGCAATAGCAGGAGATCTCCAGCCACCACCTGGAAGCTGGCAACCCTCTTTAGGAGGCGGTTGAAGATGGTTTTGTTTAGGACTGCATTTGATTAAAGCAGTACTAAATTGTGATTTCAAAGTTTGGTTTTATGTAATCTATTTTACGGCTTCTATTAATATTGTTAGCTGCCTTGAGCTCCATGTGGAAGAAAGGTGGCTAATAAATATTTTAAATAAAAACAATAAGGCAGAACAAATAGTAACCCCCATGGCCCATACTATTTATGGCCAGGTTTCAGGAATTACTGTTTCTCTGACCTACTCACTGGTCGCATACGAAAAGTGCTGAATGTTGCCTTTCCCCCTCTGAAATGCCTCCCCCCCCCCCAACAATGTCTCAGGTTCCTTTGTTTTGGCTTAGATATAAAGAAGGCCTGAATAATACTAAAGAGATTCTGACGGAACTGGGCCTGACCCCGTCTGAAGAAGACTGCCTTGCAGTACAGCACGTCTGCACCATTGTTTCGTTCCGTTCGGCCAACCTTTGTGCCTCAGCCTTAGCGGCCATCCTGACGCGCCTTCGTGAAAATAAAAAACTGATTAGGCTCCGTACGACTGTTGGCATGGATGGAACAGTGTACAAGACACACCCTCAGTAAGTAGATAATGCGGTGGGCTGAGCAGGGCTCTTTCCTCTCCCAGAGGGAGAAAGTACTGTTGCTTATCTGCATATGCCAGTTCATTAAATGTTATGCAAATGCTCACAGGAAGAATGGCTATAAAAAGGGATAGGCAGATTCAAGGTCTGTTAGCGATGATAGCTACATGTGAGGGAAGGACCATGGCTCAGTGTGTAGTAGGCTTGCCAAGTCCCCCTGGGGGGCGGGGAAACCCCTGCCCCAGAGGCCCGTTCCCCGCCGCCGGCAAATCAGGCCCCAGGGGGAACCCCACCCCGACGTGCACGTCACCCGGAAGTGATGCGACCACGCCGGGCACGCTGGGGGCGGGGCCACGGTCATCCGAGGGAAAACTCTATGATTTCCCCTTGGATGGTCATGGCCCCGCCCCCAGCATGCCCGGCGTGGTTGCGTCACTGCCAAGTGATGTGGATGCAGCGCGCGCGCGCACTCCAGCCGCCAGCCGGGAGTCCCCCACTGCGGCAAAAATCAGACTTGGCAACCCTTGTGTGTAGAGTATCTATCCGAAGGTCTTGAGTTCAAGCCCTGCTACCTCCAGTTAAAAAGGGATCAGATCATAGGAAAGGCCTTGACCAGAGACTTTGGAGAGCTTCTTTGGAGAGTAGACAATACTAGCTTTGATGGACCAATGGCCTCACTTCATATAAGACAAATTCACATGTTCATGTACACGTAATGTTCAGAAGCCATATAGTTTTGATTTACCAGGGTCAAACCAAGCAGAGATGATTTTCCATTATCATGCCTTGCTTGTGAACCTCTGAGAGAGAAGTGGCTGGCCGTTGTTCAAGACAGAAGGCTGGACTTCGATCCAAACTACACAGTATGTTTTTTAATGGATCAGGTCAGAGTTTTCCAGTCCCAGCTTGCTTTCCTTGCATCTACTTGGTAGCTGTGGAGAACTTATTCCCCCAGCAGTGCAGGGCACAATTTGGATTGGGACCATGGCATGGGGGGGGAAGCCTTTCCCCCCTCAGACCATTTTCCTAAGCCATTTGTGAGGTTTCATATGTAGCATTTGGTGCTTGTGTAGGTGTTAGCCGAATTGCTTTATCTACAGCAATTGGCAATTTTTAAACTGGGTGCTTGCCAACTATACAAAGGTCCTGTTCCCACCGAGACCAGAGAGGGAGTCGAGGCTGGTGTAGTTAAAATAGATGTCTTTTACTTAAGAAAATATATCACATACAAACAATACTGATGCACGCACACATTCAATCAAGTTCCTTAGAAATACAGTAGTAAAATAAGCACTTTTGCATTAGCAGGTAGGGTTGATGATGGGTGATACTTATCTGTCTTCACAGCTTGGTTGTTCCAATGAAGAATGGATGGGGAGAAATAGAAATCTAAGGGAGTTTAACACACGGCTAGAACCAGCCAGCATGTGTGGGCAGTAGAGACAAGGGTTGGGGATAGCAAGCTGGACAAAAGGGCAGTGTAAAGCAGACAGGGGTTGTTGAGGGGGATGCTAGCTGATCAAGTAGGAGAAAGAGAGACCATGTGACTGGTTCTCTTCTTTTATGGGGTCCCAGGAGGTGGATTTTGACGGTGCCAACCTCCTGGCCCACCTCCCTGTTAGTCCGTCCCAAAAACAATCCTATTGGTTGCCTATAGGAGTGGGAGGTTGCCTAT